AAATTGCACTCATGCCCCCGAAAAACGCTGCCACAAGAGATCTGAGTCCGGACCTGGGACTCCAGCCCCATTTTCCCCAAAAAGCCTTTGCACACCCTTTGTCGCACTTCCAGACCCACACTCTACTCCGATCAGGAAGTCGTGCTGGGCTTGAGGTTGGTATCAGAGTCCGACACGTGGCCGGGTCTTAGGATTAATAGCACGCTAATTGGGCGATCTGGCTAACCGAGGGCGACCTCGACCCTGGAACACGCATAAATGCAACCCCGTCATCACCCGAAGTAGATCGGCTAATCGACCGGCAGCCAACATGAACGCTAATGCACAGAATCCGAATCCGCAGCAGAATGTTAATCCACCAAATCCTAATCAACCCGCCCCACGAGCACGGGCTCCCATGACGCCACCTGATCTTTATCTGTTCAACCCTGCACATCATCTCGCAGGAGCTTGGTTGGCTACGCTCCGAGCACAATAGTATGACGATAACGAAGCTCAGGTAAACATTCCTGCTCGATTAGGGGGAGACGCTCATCATTGGTTTAGTACCTATGTATGGGTTGATCTTCCGACCTTCGAACGGGATTTTCTGAATCGATTTGATTATGTCCATCCAGAGCAAGCACTTTACATGATCAAGGACCGGGTGCAAAAACCTCTCGAATCTATCGCAGAGTATCGAAACCGGTTCTACCGAATGTTTGTGAAGACTGAGCGAGGCGAGCAAGTCGGGAGATATTTGTTTATTGATGGGCTTCGTAGCCGGACGATAAGGGCGAAGCTGCGAAAGCAGTTTTCCCCCATCAATCACACGCTGCAACAGATCATGGCCGTTGTAGAGGAGATGGAACGAAAGTTCGCGACGAACTTCCTGGAAGGAAAAGACTATCCTAAGGAAAGGGATTCCTCCGAACTCGCAAGGGCAAGAGCTAAGTTGGCCGCGTTACAGAACAAGTTCGAGAATATGAGATTTTTGTCAGGCCCGGTCACCTATCTAGAACAGATAGCTCCTAAACGACCTGCCCCGAGTGTAATCACGAGTGTCCCTGTTCCTGTGATACCTGCACCTGTAATTACGGCACCCTCGCCACCGATTGAGAACCATGTGAGGACAAATGAGTCCACTGCCATTTTTGAACTAACCAAGATGTTAATTAGTCTAATCCGGGAAAGCAAAAAGAAACAGCGAGAGCATAACGCTCGGTTAGAAGCCATGATGAGAAACATGCGGCCCATCGCAGTGCGTGCCCCTCCGATCCAACAAGGGCTGGCCCCGGCGCCTACTCTCGGGGGAGCCACGAACAATTTGAATGTTTGCTATGCATGCCATCAACCAGGGCATCTAGCCCGTGATTGCCCCCACCGGCCCCCACAACAACGGGTCGGGGTCGCACCGATGGCAGCGGCTCCCATCGCTAACGGACCTGGACAGGTAGGAGCCCTGATGGAAGAAATGGAAGGTGTAGGAAGTGCGTTGGCAACCACGGAAGAGGTTGTTGAGCTCATCCCGTTAGATCATTACATATCGCTGGGTTACCCTGGGCTTGGGATGATTGGAACGATTAGGCCGGCGCCGGAACAGAAAGAAGTGGCGGAATGGCGACCCTCTTCAGGAGAGATGGAGTCGGGAGGACCCACCTTCGTCACTGGGGAAACCGATGTGCTCAACATCATTCGAGCTTTGGACCATCGGATTCTACTTCCAATCGGCCATCTGCTCTCGATCTTCGAACAAGCTAATGAGCGAATGCTACAACATTGTAAGGTGAATCGAAAACGATTCGCCCTCGCCCGAACAATGAACGTGAAAGCTAAAAGCCCCACGACAGATGAAAATACGGCCGGCACGTCAGATCCAATACGAGTAGGACTAATACAGAAAGACGATCATTTCCTACGGATTAACGCCATCCCGTGGAAATCTGCGGAATGTGACATCGAAATATGGGGAATTCCGTACAATGCAATCATTGATTCGGGAGTTGCTGTTTTGGCTATCTCACTGCGAGTAGTTGAGAGGGCAGGTAGGAAAAACGATCTGATCATGCTTATAGAGAAGGACCAGCTCGTTTCGGCAGACGAAGAAAATATTAAAACAGTGGGACGAATGACCAACGTCGCTTTCCGATTAGGAAATGTGCATGCGTTAGGTGACGTCATGGTATTAGACGTAAACACCTACGACGTTTTTTTCGGCCTTCCTGCTCTTGTGGTGTTACGAGCGAACTTGGATTTAGAGCGACGGTCAATCATCCTCCGAAATACGGGAGGTAAGCCATATGTTGTACCTATGAGGTTGACCCTTCGTACTACCATCAACGAGGTCCCGTGAGTTTTTCTAATGATAGCGGGAACTCTTCGCATGGTCACCTGGGAAGACTCCGCAGACAATGAGCCATCATCGAGGGATGAGGATAGCAGTGACGAAAATGATTCGAAAATTCTGAAGCTAGCACGACAGTGTATTTATTACCCGCCGCCCCGAGCGATCGCAAGAACAATGCATCTAACCAGTCGGAATATCCAAAGGACCAAGGCGATGATTTTGGGTGAACCCCTCGTACAGATTTCGAGGATGGTCGATTCTTTGGAACCCCCTCAAACCCTGTACGAAGGAATTTCCCCTCTTCTCGCCCGATACAACGACAAGAAGCACTACTGCGATATCACAGATCTACCGAAGTTCCTATTGACACCCGCAAAGGAAGTACGACTGTTACGTCTAGGGGCGGAGGCCAGTTCTTTGGAACCCCCTGGGCGTCTCGAGGCTGAATCAGATGAGCTCGGAGTAAAGATTGCAACTAAAACCGTACCATGGCAGGATATCTGCGATGGGATCACTTCGGAAGAACTCGTGGCCATCCGAGAGGAAGACGCCCAGATGATGGTCACGGTGTTCTCCCGGCGATCTGATCATTCGTTAATCTCTGCGTCACCGTCCGATGTGGCGAAACAAGCGCGCACGAAGCAAATCGACGTACGGATCTGGGATCAGCTTTTTGAATTACACGTTCCACAATACGTACCTGATGAGATTCATTGGTTGATTGCGGACATTCTGACGGAATATCAGGGAGCAATTAGCGTAACAGACATTGACATCGGCTTGTCGTTGGTTATTCAACACGAAATTCAGACAGGAAATCATTCCCCCATCCACTGCAAGTCCTACCGATACTCCCTGATAGAACGGAAAAAGTTCTCAAACGGATTCGGGAATTCGAAGGAAGCGGGTGGATCGAACCCACCACTGGACCATTGTCATTTCCGGTAGTATTAGTACCGAAGAAGAACGGATCAATCCGCATATGCATCGATTATCGCAAACTGAATGAAATCATGATCAAAGATGTGTATCCCCTCCCCTTGATTGATGATTTGCTGGATGTGATTGGATGTGCTAATCATTTTAGTAAGTTTGATATCCGACATGGCTTCCATCACATTCTGGTTAAGGAGGAAGATCAGCCAAAGACGGTCTTCGTATTATTTGAAGGCATGTGGCAGTGAGTTCGGTGTCCGATGGGAATTTGCAATGTGCCTGCCACTTTTCAGCGAGCGATGAACGTGACGTTCCAAAACTTCGTCAACAAACACGGCTGACGCAGGGAATGATTAACTTTTGCGTGATCATATACATGGACGATATTCTTGTCTACTCAGAGACCTATCATGGACATGCGCAACACATCGAATGGACATTAGGAGCACTGAGAGATGCTGGATTCAAGATCGCACTCGAGAAGAGCGAATTTTTCCTCTCGGAAATTTCGTTCTTGGGCTACGTAGTGACACGTGAAGGGTTGCGATTAGACTCCAGGAAGGTTGCGTCCGTAAAGGAAGCCCCAGTTCCCACGTCATTGACGCAAGTTCGAGCCTTTTTAGGCCTGGCGTCGTACTACCGCCGTTTTATCAAAGGGTTTGCGACGATTGTTCGGCCTCTCATGAATCTGCTTCGTAAGGATCAACCACTGTAGTGGGACTCTGAGTGCGGACAAGCCCTTGATGAACTCAAAGAGGCCCTGGTCACTGCACCTGTTTTAATCAGACCGAACCTTGCCAAGCAATTTATTCTTAAAACGGACTGGCAACCGGAAGCGATCTCCGTCATTTTGGCACAGAAGGGGAACGATGGTCGCGAACACGTCATCGAGTACGCGTCGCGAACGGTGTCAGACGAACGGAGGAATGACTCAGCACCCCAAGGCGAATGTTATGCAGTAGTCTGGGGAATCCAACACTTCCATCTGTATCTCTACGGACAGAAGTTCTGCCTCGTGACGGACCATGAGCCTCTGCTGGCTTTGAAGAAGCTCACTAATTACACGGGTATGATTGGACATTGGGCGGTACGACTACAGGAGTACGACTTCGACATCATCCACCGAAAGACAGAGAGACACGGCAACGCGGACGGGCTGACACGACTGCATCGGCCCGCTAAAGTACCTAAGGGCTAGGAAATCACTCTGTGGAAGGAGTCAGAACCGGCAAACGGGCCTAAGTACGGACAAGTGGCAGTTCTCCCACGTGGCAAGAAGCAGACCGGTAGCAATGGGTGACGGAGGTAGCCCCACTACCCCTCTTTCTCCCCTCTCCTCTTCATCTCTTCTCTCCCTGCCTGATAAATTTTGCTATTTTTGCGAAGCAATTTCTCGCGTATATTTTGTCTCCATGCGTCCTAACGGGGAAGGGTATGCGGAATGGGTAGATTGTCGACAGTGTGTCGCACGAGCTCATGGCTCGTGCATTCAATACAGGAATGACAGTATGCTGTGGCTGTGTCCCTTGTGTCGGACTTACAAGATCCCGACCGAGGCTCGCTTTTTGGATGCCACGTCAGAAGGATTGGAGAAGACCCGGAAGTTCAGAAGGGCCGAAGTATGGACCGATATCGCTTTGATTGTCACCTTAGTGGGTAACCCCCTCCAGGATTTTACCAAGGAAGATCGAAGGAGGGCTAATGAAAGGACTCAGGATTATCGATGGGTCGAGGGTAGGTTAGAAAAACGGAACACGGATGGCAGTGGGATTTGGATGGTTGTACTGCATCCGTTCATGAGGTATGACTAGGTGAAGATAGCACACGAAGAAATGGAGGTTCACTTTGCCGTACGAATTACGGAATCAGCAATCGACAAAAACGAATGGTATTGGTCCAATATTCGAGACGATGTGAAATTCATCGTCGCAAACTGTCAAGTTTGCGCTGCTGACAAGGCGCCGATCCAGCCGCCAAGATCGATAGTACCAACGGTAGATGAGCGGCCGTTTCAAAGGGTGAGTATGGATACTACTGATATCGTAGTACCTCCTGGCCCTAATAGTTGTTAATATTCCGTCCTGCTGGTATTTGTTGACCATTTTTCAAAATGGATCGAGGCCTATCCATGTCGCACGCGGCAAGCCGCCAAAATCCCACGGTAACCGTTTTCTCAGGATGCACCAGGATACGAAAGAAATCCTGACCAACAACGGGTCAGAATTCAGAGGGGAAGTATTAAGGAACCTGGTCATACACGGTGTCGCTGTGCGGAATACCGCACCCCACATGTCACAATCCAATGGGCTGGTAGAAAACGCGAATAGGGTGATAAAGACAACACTGCGACGAAATATCGCGGCACGGGACCCCAGGCCCTGGCCCGATATCGTAGACCACATCTTGGCGGTCCATCGTGGAACACCCCACTAATCAACAGGCCTGAGCCCCTTCCAATTAAGGACCAATAGCGCCGCTTACATTCCAATACCGAGCCTCCCCGATGAATCGACACTCAACCGTCGGCCCACAAGGGCCACGGTTCGAGACAAGGCCAAGCGGCACTTAGAGCTAATGGAACGGTCTCTCCCCAGGCTAGCCCGAAAACGTCAGAAACCGACCGAGTTGGCCCATGGTCGACAGGTCCGAAGCTACGAGGCCCGGAACGGGAACGCAGGTCCACGGCCCCAGTACAAATTGGGGGACATCGTGCAGGTGAGGAAATGTGCTCGTCAGGGTAAGCTAGTGCCACGATTCTTCGGGCGATTCCGCGTGATTGAGCTCGGACCGAAAGGCGTGAACACCGTGCGGCTTGAGCCTGAGGTCTCCGGCAGCCGATCGGCTCGTCCGATCATCCGCCACGTGTCCTACCTTCGTCTCCTTCCTTCTTCCCCATCCTTGCCTTCATGTCATTCCTCCTCCTCTGCGGAAAAGGACGACGACTGCTTATCGCCTGTCTCTCCGTCTCCTTCTCGTTCTCCATCTGTTACTCTGTCCGCGTCACCATCGCCATAAGTTTTCTGGCAGATCGAGCTCTCAGCGACTCTCTGCTGGTACCACGGTGCTACATCTCGGCGATCCGACAAGTTCATCATCCGCGGCTCAGCCCGGACCTTCGACAACTTGCGCAGTTCTTCTGTACTCAGGGAGTGTACGCAGCCGCTGAGTTTCGTTTTGTAGGCAGTCCCCGGGTGGTTGTTTTGGCAGAGGCGGTAGCAATTCATTGGTGATCGGCTCCTAGAATCGGCCACGTGCTTACAGTTGTCTCTTTCAGCGGCGACATCAGCACCATCAACCCGCTGCGGCATACAGCTATCAAGACGACGCTCCGGCTGTGGGCACAGCAGTTGGCGTCAGAGTGGAATCGTTGGCTCACGCCCCACGGGGATAATCTTTTCCCCACGGACGACGTCGATCGACGGGATTCGAACCATCCAGCACGAGGCGGCGATGGTGCTCCCTGAGCTCATCCCCCTCCAGCGTCCTCAATGAACCCGTCCCAATCTCTACCTTCGACCTCCCTTCCTTCTTTCCCACCTTCTGGCAGTTCAGAGTCCATTCACATCACTCCTTTTGTCTGGAGTCACTCGCTGTCCCCCTCCTTGATCCCCAACAGTGGAGGCGTTGGCGAGAACACTTTGCCGAGTTGTCGATGGGTCTGGTCGGAGTAAAGGTCACGTGGACGCAGCACGGGGATCACCGCCAGTGGGCTGAGTACCTTGAGTTGCTTATCATCCAGGCATGGCGAACGGGAGTGGAGGGAGATCTGCTTGGATTCCTCTTCGGATCGGTGCGGCCTGATCATCGCCAACCGATCGTGCAAGAGCTAACGGTCCCCCTGGCGCAGCTGGCCGATGATGTTCCACTTGAGATCGTCTCGCAGAGCGACAACAGCCCAATCCCGCACGTCCTCCCACGCACATTGACGCCATACCTTCAGTGGTCGGCGTGTTTGGAGGCGCCCGGAAGCAGCCGCAACCCACCATCGCAGCGCGGTTATCTGGACCCACACGAGATAGTCGATCTCGCCTTCTTTCAAGATCGAACGACCTCCGAGAACGAAGAGGTGGAGATTGAAGCGGAGAAGGAAAGCTCGGAAGAAGAAGCAGAAGTTGAACAGGAGGCCGACGAGGAAGAAACTCCCGAAGAGGGGAGTTACAGTGAGCACAGCGAAGGGGAGCAAAGTGAGGAGGAGGAGGGAGAAGAACAAGACGACGAGGAGGAAGAAGAAGACCAAGAGGAACTAGAAGAGTCGGAGTGGGAAGGATTTGAGGAGGAAGTGCGTGACGAGGCTCGGGCGCAGCCCCAGGCGCAGAAGAGGGAAGAGATCGCAGTCGGGAAGCGACAGTTGGAGTTCGCCAGCACAGCCCGTCAGCCGCGCACCGACGATCCGGCCCGGGATCCAGAGCCACCTAAGCCCGAGGATGGGGACCCAGCTGCTGAGACTTGGACCGCACCGGCAAGACGGCGACGAAGCCGATCCCCCTCCCCCTCCGCCACCGACTGTCCACCAACTCGTCCACGTACCGATGCGGGGCATCGGGCTTCGTCCCCGGTCATTATCCTGCCGTCCCCTTGACCACCTCTCTTTCCGCCAGATTACCACTCGCGTCACCTTCCCTAGCAATCCCTTCCCCATCGATACCTTCCGCTTCTTCTACAATACCCGCCTCGCTGTCACTGTTCACCCCCACCCTTCCACCCGCTACACCCGCCCTGTCTTCTGCCTCCATGTTCTTCTCCTTAGCGCCGTGTGGCGAGGCCACAATATGATCGAGGTATACTGCATGATTACGGGGACTATCCCCGCATGCGAGAACCCCGATCACTTCCGCGCGGTGTTTTTCCAAGCCTTTACCACCCTCTTATATAAATTTATAGTGTGCCGACCCTCTTATGCATGCACGCTATAAATTACAGTGTGTCGACCCTCTTATGCATGCATGCTATAAATTTCGGCTGCGCGATTAGTTAGCTCTCTTAACCAGCTGCTGGAAGCTCGGGGTTGCGCGATCAAAGAGGGTCGGCACACAAGCGAAGTAAGAGGTGAGTAGAGCAGGAGTCGGGCGACCCGACGAGCTGGTGCCAAACGCGCGGGGTTGACGTGGGCCACGACGGACTGTGGGCGCGGGCGAACCTGACGGGTTCGAGAGGACTAAGTGGGGTGACGGCTTCGTGGGTTGGTGTGGGACGACGGACTGTCCGCATCTGAGAGAGAGAGAGAGGAAGATAGAGCTGAGGTTGATGGACGCGGATTTATTGTTTCTTTTATGTTTTATCCCTCCTGTCTCGTGTATATAAATTTTGATTTCGGCTCCGGGTGATTTGCCCGTTTTTGTTTCTCGGAATCTGGATTTGGTTTTTCGCTCACCCTTGTCTTGGCGATTTCCCATCTCGGATATGGTRTCTGAATGTATGAATGAATGAATGGATGTCATGTTTGGAGTGCTTGTCTTTCTACCGGATCCTTGCCTTTGCCTTTGTTTAYTGCCTTTGATGCACTCGTGAGTAGGATAGGAGCAATCGGTAATCCTGTTCTCGTTTTTTGCTTATCTTTTGATTGGGCTGTTGTGGTTGTTGCATCTTGCATACTAAAAAATTACGGAGTGATTAGACAATCGAATGTCTGGCCCAGCGAACGCCGCGTGAGAACGCGATCTGATCTGCGCATTTACACGTGCCCCCGTGCGTCGATTCGTCAAATTCAAAAAAGACCATTGATTGCAGAAGTACATTCTGAACGGGCACGGCCATCCGGGGTCTGCGATGGAGTAGTCATCCCGTGCGAGCACGCGTAAGCGTGGCTTGATTCGCGCTGCCTGCACGTGCTCGCACGCGGTGATCACAACCGGCACAGACCCGCTCGTAGGCATCTCGCAGCTCTGCTATGACATAATGACACACTCCGAGAGTTCGGAGTCGTTGTTGTACGACCCGGACTATTTCACCCCTTGGATAGCGGAAAGCCTCCGACAGAGATACCCTTGCCTAACAGAGAATCGACTGTGTCCCAAGGAGTTTCATTGCGCCACCACTAGCGACCCCCGGTGCTCTGATTTCCCCACTCAGGATCACACCCACTACTTCACCCACCCCGGATTTGTCGTTATCTCCACCTGCTTCCCTCCCTTCCGTCTTCTTCTTCCGTATTACCAATTCAGCGTCATCCCGTGGAAGGCCATAGCCCCATACTGGCCCAGCACGCCCTGCGGGAATTGTCAATGGTTTGGCGACCAGAGGGCCCCGGAATTCCGGAGGCCTAACCCGAACGTGCGACAACCGACGCCACGTGGCAAAGTCCGACGGCCTGACTCATCGGAACCCCACCCACCCCGAAGGGACCTTTCGGCAAACCGCCGTCCTCGGCACCAATGGCTCGCCCGGCCTTGAAGGACCCGCGCATGCCATCTGCCTTATGACCCACCCTCTCCGCCAAATTGCACTCGCGCCCCCGAAAAACTCTGCCACTGGAGATCTCAGTTCTGACCTGGGACTCCACCCCCACTTTCCCCAAAAATCCTTGGCACACCCCTTGTCGCACTTCCAGGCCCACACTCTACTCCGATCAGGAAGTCACGCTGGGCGTGAGGTTGGGCGTCACACTCCTCCTTTCTGCTGCCTCGAGCTTGGATGCGAGAAAAGATGTTCAACGGGTAGAAACCCAATTCCGGGGCATACTGGTTGCGAGTTCCCTCCTGTGAGAGTGCTCTCAGATGCTATCGAGGCCCAGTAGCTTACCTGAAGGCTGAAACCCATGAGTTCAGGATTGCCCCTGGTACCCATGAATTCAGAGTTTCCTCTGGTACCCATGAGTTTGCGTCGCGCCTACCCATATGGCTTCCTTTGTGCTTCAAGTTAAAGTTTGTTGTTATTCGCGGCCACTTGGCCAGGACCTGGCGGTGTTCTTTTTTTTTCCCCGAATCATCTGTGAGGGGCCTATTCGTGCAGGTGATAAGAGCAGCCTCTGCAAATAGGTCCCCTGATAGAAGATGGCTCCAATCTATTAGTGGGGAGCTGCACCTGCTGGAAACCATGTCCAGCATCCCAATTACACATCAGAAGCCATTTGTGAGCATGTACAGTGATGAGCAGCATTGATTGCCCTCTTACGAAGGGATTAAATGCACATCAAGACCCTGGGAAAAGGGCACTCGGCAAAGCACCACCCTCCCTACCTCTACCACGTGGCGACACCTAATTACATTGATAAAATTGAGAGTAGGCCCCACAGTCAGGTCAAAGGGACACAGATTCAACCCTAAGATCAGAGCAACTCTGATCCCCGCCCAGAGGGAGAACAATAAGCTCACACGATCTCTCCCAAAAAAACTGAAATCCAGGCAGATCAAAGCGAGACAGATTCAACCCTAAGCTCAAAGCGATCCAGATTCACAGCAACTTTGACCCGCCCAGGCGAAGAGTGATGAGATCACCCGAAAACTGAGTTCAAATCGACCACGGCACCGCAATTACCCTTCCACTTGGCAGAACCCTAAAGAGTAGTCAGATCTACATGGTGGAGGGGAGGGGAAAAGAGAGATCATGAAACACAAGAAGACCAAAACGAGGGGTCATCAAGAACCTTGAAATTGCGAGACCCCGGCAACCAATGTGAACGAAATCACGGTAACCAATTCAAAAAAGCGCTATGATCGCTCCTAATATCAAAACACTGTCCAATGAGAACAACGACCCCCCCCTGCGGTCGACCATTCGCTCACCTGAGGATACGCCACCGCTATGACGAACATGAGAACAACAACCCCCCCCTGCGGTCGACCATTCGCTCACCTGAGGATACCCCACCGCTGATGATAGGAGGAGCCCGTGACAGAGAACCCTACATTTCACAGCAATCGATTTTTGTAAAAGTGATGCAGTTGTCAACCCCGTTTCATGAATCATAAACCTGTCCCGTCCGGGAGTAACCATGTGGTTGAGAAGCCCACCAGGTCCATTAGATATCTTCATGATGCGCACGGGAGCTCGCGTCTATATTTGTGAATATGTAACTTGCGTGTCAGACAGGTCCATTGTGAAAGATAACCCCTTAGCGCATATCGAAGGATCCAGTTGACAAGAAGGCACAGGTCCGTTGCGAAAGATAACCCCTTAGTGCATATCGGAGGATCCAGTTGACAAGAAAGCGCTCCCAGATCAACAGACAGCTCTGTAATGCTCACGACAGCAATCCCTCCCGTTGTATTCAGTGTTGTAGATGCGGTATTGCTGATATGTAGTTCCACCGGCAATTGAGTGGGAAACAACTTCCCATCCACCGCCACAGAACCCATTGCAGTATTATTAAAAAAATCCGTGATGCACAGCGGATCCCTTGCCCCCATTGTTGGTGTAGAATCTGTAGATGCGGACTCCAATGGAGACGAAAACTGCAGTCGATCGAGGAGAGAGTGGCCATCCGTCACCATACTCACTGGTAGCTCGCCACCCCAGCTCCTCACCAGTGCAGCTCCCTGAGCGCACCCCAACTCAAACAGCTCATTACATTCACTCATGTGAGCATCCATCTGGCTCCTATTAGAAAGAGCAACAGGCTGGAAATAGCACTCCTCCAGCTCCCCGATTACCTCCATCATCTCCTTCATGGTAGCCTTCACCCGGCTGACCTGTGAGATCGTCCCCCCACCGATCTCAAACCGAGGCAGGTCTGCCGAGAAGAGAGAAGCAGTCATCTCCTTCAAGTGTCTTTTACTAGCAAGGAGCATGGAAGTCCAGCGAGGAACAGCCGCCATTTCACGTTCTTTCATTGTCCTCAGCACCGTATAGCCTTCTGTGATTCACTGACGAGCGTTGTCTTGAAGCCAACTTTACGTCTACAAGGGCACACTCCATTCGCGCAGGATGCTTCCATCCCGCCCTGTTCGCCGCCTCATGTTGCTTGTCAGACCTCCCTGCACTGTTTGACCGCTTGCTATCTTTGGCTATGGCGTCAACACCTTTCGCCTTCATCCGTACATCTTAGAAATCAGGGTACGAGACGGCCGTGCCCGCCGGCGGGTACGCTCCCCACGGGCTCGCGTTCTGATGGCTCTCGAAAGGCGCGACCCATCAGTTTTTCCTCTTACTGAACTAAGTCCACGTGGCGGTGGTCTTGTCTGGATGCGTGCGCTTCTCTCAGCTGTAGCTTCGGAGAGGGTGCTGGACTTATTTGACGGCAGTTACGTCCACACGTGAGCGCATCTGACGGAAATCACGTCCCGAAACGAGTCGAACAGGTTCTGGAATCTCTTAGACGGCCGGCCACGGCGCTCGGGTGTGGATCCGACGCAGACCGGACTAGGTGTGTGTCTGTTTCTCATATGGTCTGTCCCAGTCCAGCGTGGACATTTCAGTGCTCAAGGGTCCGCCCAGTGGGGATCGCACTACGGTCCGGACTCGTAAGTCGGGCAGGGCCTTGCTCCACTACACAACATTCTAAACGTGGACTAAACCCGGACGTGTTTCCGGCTGATATACATTCCAAATGCTTGCTGAGTTCCAAACGAATCTATCCGTGCACCAGTCCAGATACATGTCGAACGTTGTGCAGTGGACCGAGCTCCCGCGCAAGTTACGAGTCTGGGGGCCAAGTCCCACTACCAGGGGCGTGGTCCCACTAGCAA